ATTTGGATGCAAACAGGACTAATTATATAGAAGCCAGTGTGGATTCTGTTTGCTACACATAAAAGAAATCAAAGTGTGTGTTAATCCCCAAACAGACTCTAATACTCATATGTGAAGAGATGTGTCCAAACCTCATCTAAAAAATGTATTCACCAGTAGATATTTTCTACTTTTTTACTTCTAAAGGTTAAGAAAATTATCCTTTAGAATCTGTGAAATGTAATTTTTAAAAACTAGGGCACGTGATAAAAAGTTACTTGCTGACCTTTCTTGCAAGCTTGAGATCTTCAATTAAATCCTGCTCACCTCGGGACATTTCATATATTGCCTAAAAAACATACAGCAAAAATCAGAGGTCATTCCTTTAAGAAAGAAAAATTATATACAATTGATGTTTTACATCATTTAACTGATATTTTGAACAGTATTTTTTCAAGTGACTCAGTCTGAAAACTGTAATTCCGAATGGAATCTCGAAATAAGAGGCTGCCGTATGTTTCATAATTTTACCCCATTAGAGCTAATTTGATGACCAGCACCCATACGAAGTGTCATTCACCACTTTGAATTATGTCATGTGTTATGAATTGTTGTTCAAATACAAAAAAAAATGCAAGTCAATTTTGCCACAGACATTAGCCCGAAGACATTTGTCTTCTGGCAAAACACGCGTTTAAAAAACAGAGATCCTTTTTTAGTACAGGCCAGTAAATACGGTCCTGGTACTGAATGCCAGCGCACCTCCTGACGTTTGATTTCCCTGGTGGTCAAAGACTCCTTCGTGCTGACGTCCAGCATCTCTGACCACAGCACGCTGCTTCTTCTTTTGGCAGGTGTTGGCGCTGCGGACCTGCTAAATGACTTCTGGGCAGAGGCTGGGGATCTGTGGTCACCACGAAGGGTAAATGACTTAAAAAAAAGGTGAACAAAAGAGAATGTAAGATTTGGAGCAAACAGTAATTATTCCTTTTTTCTTTTTTTAAAGCAGAGAAAGACAAATTAAGAATAAAGTTCTGAGAATTTTTCAACACAGAAAATCATTTATCTGAGTTTCAACCTGTCATTCTAAAATATTTATCAGCCAAAACTACTTTTTGTGAATAAAAACTAGCCAAGACTATCCAGTGATATAAGATGCAAATTAATATAACGAGGTTATACAAACATTGTTTTGGTAACAATATTCCTTTCTAGCATATTACAAAAAGAAAACTTATATTTAAGTATAATAGTGCAAACCTGTCTATACAGCTCAGAGAAAAACACAAATTTCAGGCTTCCATAAAAAGTCCCCTGACTACATTACTCTCTCCTCCCCTCCCTTCTTTTTACCTGTATTGTTTGACCAAAACGTCTGACTGCTCCATTTCTTACAGGAGAGATTAAGTTTGCCAAGGACGTGACCCGAGCTAGAGGTCGAACTCTTTTATTGCTTGGCTCCTATAAAAACAAAACCAGATTTACACAATGTATCCAGGTACAATGATTTCATACAAGCTTGGACAAAGCTAAGCCCTCTCACAAAACAATTTTTGTATCTTATAAAATACATAAACACAAAACTCTAAAAATGAATGTTGTTCTTCATTGTTGAAACAGGAAGAACACTACGAGCAGCAGTAACTTGATAAATAAATGATGTAAGAAAGGCCAGTCAAATATTTGAGTATCACTTTGAGAACATATTACCAT